TCGACCCAAACTATAAATTAAATGCAACATCTTTATCATCAAAGTGTGTATTTTGTGAGACCACTGAAGCAGCTTATAAGCTAGCTTTTTAGCTAATCTGTCAAACACAACCTACCTGAATAGCTCTTTTAGGTAGAACAACTGTTGTATTCAAATGAAGCATTCTTGCAACTTTCAAGAAACAAAACAAACAAAAAAGTTAGTTAAGTGTTTAATGAAAATATAACACATATAGACTCCATATTTGCATTTTTAAATGAAAATACACACATAATAGATTCCATAAAATCTAATTAAATTCGAAAAAAAAAGTAAACACTTATTATACCTCTCTCAAGATCTTCTTATCACCAACTCCACTTGGTTGGCCAAGGTCTGCAATCTTCCATAGTGGAATATCAAGCAGTATCCTTATTACATTTTCAACCAGAAAAGAAAACCTAGCCTGAAATGAGCAAACCACACATTTCCGTTCAAATTCAATCCAACTAAATGTTAATGTAATGTGTTTCTTTCTAGACTTAACAAATAAAGAACTGAACGACTTAACAAAGAAGCAAGTGGTACCTCTTTGCCATTATCAGCGATGCATATATCATATTTACCTAGGTTTTTGTTCCATATTCTATGCATATCTAACTTCATCTCCTTATTTAGACCACCCCAACTAAACACATCAACAAATAATCATCGAAACTTACTTCACTATTTTAGCTTGCTTCTTTTACAGTATGAGATAATACTGATTAATAGGATGTAACCTGCTTTCTCTGAACTTAGCTCTATGGCACCCATAGTCACTACACTACTCACCTGCACTAGAACCAACCAATAGGATCCTGGAATTAGACTTGTATTTAACCTTTGAATTATTATTTCCATTTATTTCTTCACTCACACACCCATCACCACCAGCTACCAACCATAAGGCAATCCCATTATTAAGGTCCTGTAACGCAAAAATAAGTTAAAAGACTTTCATGAAACCTTATAATAACGTTAAACTTTAAAAAGAAAATGTGCAATTAACAGATCGATGTACCATGTATGTATTTGAAGGATAAATAAGTGACAAGACACGTTTTGTCTCCATGGTCAATTTCGACAATTCTGTGTCTATTTCTACTAGATTCCATCTACATTCAAAATCTGTTTGTATTATGAAAGAACTACAATAAAGTCAAAGTCAGAGGGTAATAAGAAAAAGGACCAAAAACGCCAATTACCTTCTCAAAGGGGCAATTTTTCTCAGCTCTTTCACACCAGCCATTGCAAAGATGCATATAATACTTGTCATTACTTTTTAGATTCCCCATTTAAGATAACGCATAATTAAATGAAACTCAGGATTTGTGAGATTTACATTAAAAGGTTATAAAGAATATTAATAGGTAACATACCAGGTACCATGTAGGCTCCAAGCATAAAAAATTAATATTTGCAACTGCTATCCATACACCATTAAGGGCTAGTGTATCTGGCTATATAAATCAGGAGCTTCAATTTCCAGTGCTTCTGCTGCATGTACCATTAACTGATGAAGTTCTAAAAGCTGAAAAAAACACAAATTAAATCATTGTCTTGCTTCTTATTTACATGTATTTTGGATGTATAATAATAGGAAAATTACAAGTTATATGTAATGTAATTATTAGTGGAAAAAAGTTGTTTAATCCGTATACCTGATGCATTGAGATGAAAACATAACATTTATAGTGAGAGTGTAACCAAAGAAAGTTCTAGATGTAAAGCCAGTGAAGATCGTAGCAACTGTTGATGAATACTTTTTCAAAATTGTGTTTGCATGTTATAAATAATAGAGATTAAAGTTAGTCTTCCACTATTTATAATCTTTTTATTGTATAAAAAAACAAATGCTTATAATAATGTTACCAACATATTTGAAGAAAAAAGAGGATACCATTCCTTGAGTTGTATTGTTCACAATTAAAAGCATGGTAGCTTTTGAATGTCCTTGTAAAATATCAAAGCTTTCAGGACCTGAAAAAAAATAATCACATGGAAATAAGGGTTTCTATGAATGATTAACATAATTATAAAAAAGTAAAAGGGTAAAATGGTCAGAGTAAGATCCAAGGGAGTAAGTACCTTTAATAATGGCAGTTCCAAGCATGCCTAGGAAGTTGAAAACAACACCATATCTGTATAAAAACAAATTCTGAAATCCCAATAAGTTCTTCCACCAACCTTCTAAAAAATTCTGCATATGTTCTTTGGGCAAATTCAAATGTACATAAAAAAGCACAAGATTTGTAAAATTTAGTGAAAACCTACTATTGATATTACAAAACTAAAAGGGCATTACAGTAAAATTTCATCTACAAGTTTCAATTTCTTTTTGCTTGATTTGTAGGGTACGTTGGGCTTGTTTTCCCTCCAAGTTTCCTTGGAGTGCGTTGTACAACTGCCTATCATTGCCGTTGATAGTAGCTGCTCTTCCTTTTACTGCATCCATCACAAGTGTATA